ACGCAAAAAGAGGTTTCTTTTGTGGAGTGCATAATAGCAAATATCAAGTTTTTATATATATGATAAGATATAGTATTATGAAATTGAATACTAAAATAATAAAAAATTTAAGAAATTATAGCTTTATACAACATTTGATTAGAGAAACGAGGGTTTTGGAACATAGTTTTTAATTATTTATAAAAAATTAAAAAGAATTGAAAAACGCTGAGGGGCCCCTTGGTCATCCCTCAGTGAGGGCATCTCGCTTCTCAAAGTGAAACACCCTTTACAGGCCTTTCTCTAGAAAACCGTGGTTTGTCAAAAGTCAAAACACCAATATCTAGTTCTCCCTCACACAAACCCACATCTCCTCTATAATCAGTATCTTAAAAAGAGGGGAGTATGGATTCACCTTCAAGAGCTGGACAACAGATGGGAGGAATTGCCGTGAATCTTGAGGCGTTGTGTATGGTGAAAATTCTGCAAGGGCTTTAAGCAAATCCAGCTTGCGTTCCTCAGGCAGCTGAGAAGCAGAATGTAGAAAAAACTATAAGATCGAATTTCAGGCATAGGGCATTAGCACAAATTTTAGACACCAACTTCAGTATAAGGATTAAGATACAATTGCATTGCGGAGAATTATTATGCACAGGAAGGAAGCCCTTGAATTTAAATAACATCTTCAAGGAAAATAAATGTTCTACTTCTCATTTTAAAATATGTTTTTCAAAATTTCAAAATAAGTATACAGAGAACCAAGATTTTTCTTAGAAACATTCATTAATTAATTGGAAAATAATATATTTATGTAGTATCAAGTTCATCTTGGTAAACCTTCAAGTCCCCTAAGCAGTATCAAGTTCTTAACTTAGCCTTCAGCTGAACCCGTAAGTCATTGACAAATTAACTTTATACACACAAATTTGTAAATGGGGTAATTGACAAATTAAAACAATCATATTCCAAAATTAGAAAGACAAGGAAAAAACCTTACAAGAAAATATAACTGTTAAGATGTGTGTTACTATTACCTTCTCAAAAACTGGAATAACATGTTTGTTAAGATAGCTGAGGAACTTGCAACTTGACGCACCCCTCTGTGTAGATAGCCAGAACGGTGAGCAGTCTTGAAAACATTATGATATTTTTACTCAGATACATACAAGGTAACAAATGTACATACCACAACAAAAGGGATAGCCATAAAAAGGCATGATATCAACCTGTCAATATGGTCTGCATCTGCAACCTGCATTGAAATGACATTTGATGGAATGTAACTAATAGAAAAAAAATAAAAAAAATGAAAAAGGAATGGGGCAAAATAATGTTTGACCACCAGCATTAAAAATAATTATAAAAAGAAAAAAAAAAACTAATGCTGATACTAACTCAGTAACGTGATAGCCGCCACAAAGGTAATACTTTAACTCATCAAAAAGATATCATCAAATAATCTAGTGTGTCTAAAGCATGTGCAAGACAAAATCATTGTTCCTGCATTTCAAATAGAACTAGCTTCTCACTTCAGTTCTAAAATGCAATTCATCTCATTAATCTCATGGTTGTGAAACTTCTACATTCTCAATGTCTTCATAAGGCTTTTTCTAACGCAAAACTGGTCTATTAAAAACTTTATTGGATAATGAACTGATCAATTTGAAAACCATACACTTTCCAAGTTTCTAAAGAGGTATAAGGTTCGAACTAAAGCTATTTCACCTCTACTTTGGTACCTAAGCAACCAATCTGTCAATCGGTAAATCTGTCAACCTGAACAATTTGAAACTAGACATCATGCAGAATGTATGTCATAGTCTAGACACAACATCCTCGACATGAAAATTGCTGCCAGAAAGTTTATGCATAGGATGGCAAACAAAAGTACTATCATATATCCTGTAAAAAGAACTTCAAGTATAAATAGGGATTGACATCAAAAGTTTTAAATATAAGATGAATAAAACAAATCAATGCATTAGACACTCACGGAAGCCAGAAGGATTTCATTACAGAGTGTGCAGAATGGAAATTGCAAAGAAATAGTTCAGAGGAAAATAAACCTATGTACATTCATTTTAGCAAGAAATTCCTCTTTTGCAACTGTAAAAATGCTCTAACAAGCAATAGATACTCACATTGAACTGAGCATCTAAATCAGCTTGCCCTTCAATGATTCCAATAAGTTCTTTCAGACGCTCTGGTGGGGCTTTTTCTCCAAAAATACTCAAACTTTTTAAGAAGTCCATAAACATTCTAAATTCAGCTCCAGTCACATCTTCTAAACTCTGAAATAAGCTGAATAACATTACTTGCTCATCCTCTAGTAGATTAATAAAATAAAACCTGAGTTTCTTTTAACTCAGAATGGATTAATAGCCAAAGAGGATAACCTTTAAATAGATTGAAACATAACCATTTAGTAATTTTACCTTTTTTATCAAGTCTGTTATGTGTCTTTCCATTTCCTCTTGAGGCTTCAAGAGTTCAGTTTTGATAGGAAAAACCTACAAATGTAAACCGTAGATTCACTCACTTCTACATATAAATAACAAATATCATTTGCAAATGACACTGCTCATGTCTCTGATAGAAGCCAACTTTATCTAAATAACATAACCAGAAACAAGGGAAGATTCTAGAGTCCCCGCTCTCCCTCAAAGCACTCAATAACAAGTCTCAGCCTAAAATGATACCAAAAACATGGAAAACTCACTGCCCCTCAAACAGAATATAAAGGCCCCTCTAACTAATATTATTCTAAAGGGCCCACAAAAACAGCAGGCACTCCCTCTATTTCTTACATGCTCCTAGCCACAGTACATAAACCTTGGTAATATGGGGTCTATCAGTGCTCCTTCTCACCTTATCTCTGATAAAGCTTAGCACCTTCTCACGAATGACTTCATCAGTAGTTGGTTCATCAACACTTCCAATGTGCTTAAACAAAGCTGTCAGTGAAGCTGCATCACCACATACATAAAATGGAACCATAAGGCTGTTATTAAAATGTTGTAACAATTTTTTTTTAATAGAAATGTTAGGCAAATGAATTGATGGAACAAAAGAAAAGTACGTACTTCATCATGATAATTATGAAACTTTTATTATGAGGGAATTTTGTAAGTTCCCAATCCAAAAAGAAAAGAAATGCAGCGGAACTCATTAAATCCACCTTTTATTTTGGTTTCAAACTATAAAATCCATCTTTAAGCAGAAGAAGAAAAATCACAATGGTTCTACTGACAATTAATGCCATCAATCTAACTAGAAGTTTAGTTGCTCAAAATTTAAACTGTATATAACTTCACGTACGCTTAAAAAAAACAATGGACATCATATCATAATATGTAGAATCTACCTTTAACATCCTGCCTCAAGAGAGCCATAAGAGCTTTATGGACGGCATCACGCTCCACAAATTCCTCTAAAGCATTAAATATTACCAGAGTCAGTTACCAATTAGAAAATACTAATGTGGTGTGTAGCATCTTCTAGAACCAAACTATAATACCAGATGCAAGAATTTGAACGAGAATGTCAACAATTTTGCCAATATTTTCTGGCGTGTCTTTGCAGAAAAGAGGAAGTCCTCGAATTGCCTGAACTCGTATCTGCATATTCATATAAATAAAAGAAACCTTACAAACACAACATCGATAAAGCACCAAATTAAACTAGCTAAAAAATTTATAGTAAAATTCATTGTGATGAGAGCGAAGAACTGCCCTAGAAACACCGACTAACCAATTAACCAGGCAGAGTTTAGTAATTACAAGTTATTAGATTCCCTTCCTTCTATAACTTATTCTTTTAGAAAGTTTGTCAGCTAGTACAATGGATTATGAAGTCCGAAATATACGAACCGCCAGCTCTTCTTCTTCGATCAGATCAATATGGGCGTCGATGGCAGGACCAGAAAGGCTGGGAAAGAACTTGAAGAACCTGGGAATGAGTTGAGCAGCCAATTGCTTGGCTTTGGTACTCGTTTTCGCCGCATCTATTATCCCTTGATAGTCTTTCACATGCTGAAATAAGCCAAAAGTGTTACACCAAAAATCAAAACTCAGCCCACACATTCAATAATCTTGTAGGAGGAGAAAGAGAAGGAGAAGCGGAGTGAGAATGAGCACAACACCTGAGATTTGTCCTCCGCCTCGTTGAGACGCTCGCCGAACTCATAGAGCTTCTCGATGTGCTGGGCCTCTTCGGAGGGCTCACTCATTGGCGCTAACTCTCAAAATTGAAACTGCAATACAAGAAGATATGTAACAGCAAAACGAATACGCTGAGACCGTATCTGCAGAAACCGAGCACCAAAAATGCGAGAAGAAGCTTGGGTGGGAAGAACCAGCAAGCTTCGGAGGGTTACTGGAGAGTTCGCCTGAGGGTTTTGAAGGGTTGAGAAACGAGAGCAAGCAGCAAAAGGGGCTGCCAGTTTTAAGATCGCGTCCCAGACATTTTCACTTTCATCTGCTCCCGGCTCGCTGGGTTGGGTTGCGGCTTATTAAAACGACGGCGTCTTTTCCGCATTAAACACACCGTTTTGATTTTGACATCCAACTAGCATCTCCATTTTTCTATTTTTTTTTTTTTTTGGCCAAAATCAAATGCTCTCATTCTTTCAATTAATTATTGATTTCGTTTTTAAATTCTAAATTTTATCTTCAATGTATTAAAATTTCTCAACTAAACCGTCGGTAACTTTGAACAATCTATCATTAAATGGTATCAAATTCGAAAGTGAAATGGACACCGATGTCAAGTTATGACACTACAAGAAAGTAGATAGTTTAGACCCAATTTGAGTTATCCAAAATTTTGTCTTATATAAATAATTCAAGAAAATCTAAAATTTAATTTCTTATTTTTACCATTTTGAAAACACTTATTATTTAACCACTTGATTTATTTTATTTGAATTATGTGTTAAACATAATTAATATTCCCTCCCTGTTTCTACTTTTTCTTCTTCCCCCTTTTTTATCTCTTTCTATTCCTATGCTTTAAGATGAGGCTAAACACAAACAGCGGGGTTTACTTCCTGTTATAAGGGAGCACTTCTCAAAATCATATGAACTTCACATCCAACGTCCGGGAAGAATAAACTATAAAGTTCTTGAATATTCTCTCTAAACAAATCAAAAGAAGAGGCTGAGTGATGTTGGGGCTTATTCCGGACCATGGGGGATGATAAATTTCTTGTTACCTCTTACAGGGCATTATTGTCTGCTAAGTTCCACAGAAATTATAAAATGGGCATCTCGAGTGCTTGCAAGACATCCTTGAACTCGAAATCTCGTGTTTGTCTGTTAAACCGTTCGACCAGTTTGTACCGAACATCATTCAAATAGAAGGATTGGGTGGTCTCTAAAAGCCATTCTGCCTCCTGGTCGGTGAGCTTGCTCGTAAACACAATATCGCCCCGAATAAGCACCAAATCCTTGCTCTCTGCAAATTCTTTATAATATGACACGGTGAAGTAGGGAGCTGCTTGAGTTCCTCTGGCCTTGTAATCTTCAAGACCAGTGATAAGGATATGCGGCATATGTACTGCAAAACGGTTCAAATACATATCTGAGTTAAGAATTTAAACTAAACCATAAGCATTATTGACAGGATCCATTTTTATGTTCCACATCACACAGCCCAAAATATAATTGAGATCTCATTCTAAAACAATTTTCCTCTACTGTCAAGTACAAAACAACCATTTCGAGTTGGCAAGACTTATTAAAATCATAACAAGCAGCAAACACAAGATCAAACAATTGTTTCATCTAGATGTAAGATCCTCGCCTAAAGTAATTTTATTCTAATAGAACAGACTTGATTTCTTCAAAACATCAAAGCTGGATGGATGATTTCTTCGAAACATCAAAGCTGGATGGACTGAGTGTAATTCAATACTCAGGTTCGTGGGTGGAAGGCTGGTCTTTAGTATCTTTCAGAAGTCTTATTTATCTTGATGTTCTTTTTTTCAGATCTTTTATTACAACAAAACAGTAATAACAAGAAGTCGTTCCATTACTTGCAAACAACTTGCGAATGTTATGTTAAGCTCCAAGAAAAATGTAAAATGTTATTAGCCACCGAAGTGAACGCTATTTAAAAGGAAAATCCCGGTGGAAATGAAGTAAAGAATTTTTAAGAAGGCTAGAGGTGGAAGATGTGTGGGAGGTAGCACTTAGCTATAATAATTAATTCTATGGATGTACACTCTCAACACTCTTGAGGGCCTTCTTTGTAAGCTTTAGTAGGTTAACAGTGGATATCTTATCTTCTGTTTTCAAACCCCTCAGTTCATTCACTAAAAGTTTTTTATCTTATCAAAAGGAAAAAAAAGAAAAAGAAAAGGCAAGGCAATTGAGGTTTTGCTTTTACCTGATAAATTGACAAGTGATATAGTGACAGCATTGATAAAGAAAGAACTCAATTCTCATATATTATAGATTAACAAGTTAAAGCCACGAGTTAACAACCATACCTTGAATAAACATGGTAGTATAACCACTTCCACGCCACAAAGGAACAACAAAGTATCGGCTGCAAGATTGCATTAAAGTTAGAACATCAAAATCCTGAAAATGACTCGTAGCAGCATTGACAAAAGGTTTGATAATTACCAATCTGATGCTCGTTGTTCCAATAAATGATATAGTTTAGCCTTCATTGATGCCCCAATATGACCCCTTCCCAAATGATACTGGTACACCAACAACCCGACAAAAGAATGTAAATATAATTGCATTTTGGGGGTAACCTTTGACAAGGTTTGAATTAGGTAGGAGGCCCAACTAAGGTAAAATCATTCTACTAAAGAACTTTTAAACTCATAATAAATCATTGAAGAATAATTTACGAAGCCATTATCCCAAGAAACGAATTATCCATCTAAAAGATAATATGAGGAGAATTTTTGCTTGCTTCCAGTTCTATAAGCTACATTTGCTTGATCAGTCCAATCTCATTCCTGGATTCTGGAAAATTGGAGCTCTCAGATTAATTTCGTTTGAATTCTATAAAGAGTTAACGACTAAATTCAAAATGGAGCCCTCTGACTCGTGACTATAAAAGTACCGCCAATTTTAAGTTCGAAACATTGCTCAAGAGTGTCCATTTTCGTAAAAAAAAATGTATTCTCTGGCATACTAATCTCTTATAAAAATTAACCGGTGCTGGTGACTGCAGAGTTCGACTATGAATTACTTTGAAATTTTACCGGCAGAAACCAGCTAAAATTAAGGAAAATAAAAAAAAGAAGAAGAAGAAACATTACATCATCCCAGATGGAAGCGAGGTCCTCCGGTGACCGATCTTTAGCTCTCTCCATATCAATGATCGAATCCAACGGCTTTGGTTGCAATGGGGTGAACCCAGTAGCGAATTTTGAAGTCCGAAAGAAACCAAGCGAACACCATTTTATGAAATCACAAGGAATAGCTTCCTTTTTTTGCAGTTTCTGAAGACTCGCATTGGCAAAATAACAACGAGATGATTGCCCAAGACAAGGAACTGCTGGCGAAGAACTAGCAAGAAGACTTCTCGCAGAACCAGCTATGGTCCTCAATGTTCGAAACGACGAGCTTCGCATCGCGCAGACGTGGAATTCAATAATCAATTAGGGACTTTAAATTGCATCAACTGCACGCTTTCACCTAAGTTGGAAGAAGGACGACGATGGCCAGGAAATGGCGTCGTGGCTGTGAGAACCCCGCTCAATCTTCCGACTTACACCATTTAAAATCTAGGTCGAACAGAAGAACTTGCATCAAACAGTTTTTGTGCGATTCGAACTCAAACTCCGCTGTCACATGATCATCACGAAGTGAAACCTGAAAACGAAGAACGCAGATTTGAGTATCGAGTATCTGAAAAGCGCCCGTCGAGTAGCTTGGGCTGGGCTGAGTGCCATACAGTGAGCGCAATATCCATTGTCCACTAACAGCAGCCCATCATATTGCGAATATTTCCGTCTGTCTAAATTAATAACGTAAAAGTAGATATTTTTATTCCTCTTGGAGTTAAGTATTTTCCATCAATAATTATTACATCAATTTAAAGTTAAACAGTATCAACATGAGTATAGCTCAACCGTTAAGGCAAACATCTTATTTATTTATTTGAGGTCTAGGGTTTGATCTATCATCCCACATCGTTGTATTTATTTAGTATTCACAATTTAAAGAGTTTTAATAAGTCTCTAAATTTTTTATTATATTTTTAACACTTTTGTTTTATTTTAAAAATATTTATTTTTAATAAATTTACATCATAGCTCCATCGGTTGAAATATTTTTCTGGAAAGCTCATTTCATATGTGTTCAAGGATTTTGTGACATAAATCGTTCTAAAAGGATTGAGTCTAAAAATTTACTCGACACAAAAAGAGTTTAATAGCCTATGATAATATTTTTAAAGTATGAAGATTGAATAGATATCTATAATCCTAGAAGTTATGTAAAAATTATAAATTTAGTACAAACATTATACTTTGTATAGTAAAAATTGACCTGAAGTAATAGGACAAAAGGTTGATGATCGGAATAAAATAATGTCAATTCTCAACATTAACCTCTTCTTAGCTACTTCTTTTTTTTTAGAACATATAAGAAATGGGGATAAGATGAACCTCCAAATAAAAATAAGTCGCATATACTAAAAAAGAAAATGTCTAACATTTAAATGTAATTTGATGAATATGATTGGAGAGCCACAAAAATCACACATATTGACATAAATACATAATAGTAATTTTAAAGGTTGCAATTATTGGGTGATATTACCAAGATAAGAAAACCGAGGGCAATCTTCAGCCGCGCACATTAAATTGAGTTCCAATTTCAACTACTCTCACCTAAAAATTAATTCCTCTGCCTCAAAATCAATCAAAAGGCTGGCAGCCACAATCCCTTTCCGACCAAACAAACATCTCTCTTAAATCCCTTTAACCAATCGCTACCTACAGAAAGCAAAATTGTCTGATATCTCTCCCACCGTTCCCATTTCTCAATTCCCCTATTTAAACCACTGGGTCGACTGGGGAATTCCATAAAATCAAGAAAAAAGCTATCTTTGCACACACACAGAGGTCAGAGGCTGTGGACTATGATGGGGCAGTGGGGGTTGAGGATGAGGGCTCTATTGTTGGCAATGGGGCTGACGCTGAGGCTGAGTTTTTGTGTCCCTTTAATGGACGTGGATGTACAGCAACTGAGGAAGCTGGCATCTAAATACAACGTCACCAGTTTGTTGGTGTTTGGGGACTCCAGTGTTGATCCTGGGAATAACAATGTTCTTTCCACCACCATGAAGAGCAATTTCCCTCCTTATGGGAAGGACTTCTTTAATGCCCGCCCCACCGGCAGGTTCTGCGATGGACGCCTCGCTACTGACTTCATTGGTAAATTAATCACCTTTAATCTCATATGCTTCATTTCTTTTCTGATTCATTACTGATCTCTGATGGGTTCAACAGCCGAGGCGTTGGGATTTGGAGAAACGGTGCCGGCGTTTCTGGATACAACTTTGCGCCCAATCCACCTTTTGCGTGGCGCTAGCTTTGCTTCTGCCTCTTCAGGCTACGACGATCTCACCGCTAATTTCTCTGTAAAACAAACAAATTACATTAATTTCTATTCTAGTCCTTTTTTTTCCCTCTTATTAATTAATCATTAACTAATCCAATACAAACCCAATTACAGAACGTACTGTCGTTTCCGAAGCAGTTGGAGTATTTCATGCACTACAAACTCCATCTAGGCCGACAAGTCGGCTACGAGGAGGCAGAGAAGAGAATCAGAAACGCCATAGTTGTCATCAGCATGGGAACCAACGACTTCCTCGAAAACTACTTCTTGGAACCACTTCGCCCCAAGCAATTCAGCTTGGACCAATACCAGAATTTCCTCGTTTCTTCAATGTCCCGTAACGTCCAGGTCTCTCCCCTGCCCTGTCCCTCCAATTTCTCTTCCAAAATAGCAATCAATTCAATACAAAGATTTAATTTTTTTATTCGTTGTTATATATATTGTTGTAGCTTATGCATAGGTTGGGATTAAGAAGAGTAGTGGTTGTGGGAGTTCCGCCATTGGGGTGCATGCCACTTGTAAGAACGATCACAAATCAGAACACGACGTGTTCTAAAAGTTTCAACCAAGCGGCGTACGCATTCAATGCAAAGATGAAGCTCAAATTGGCAGCGATTAAAGCAAATTTGGGGATGCTCACCAGCTTCGTGGATGCTTATGCCATCGTACAGGACGCAGTCGACAACCCCACCGCCTACGGTACTAAAAATTAAAAAAGAAAAAAAAAAGAAAACAGTTAAATTTATTGGCTTTGAAACAGGGGACGTTAATGGAGTCATAAATTTCAGGTTTAAGGGAGACGGCGAAGGGGTGCTGCGGGACGGGGTTGGTTGAATATGGCGGCACGTGCAAGGGGTCGAGCACTTGCAGCGACCCAGAAAAGTACGTGTTTTGGGACGCGGTTCATCCGTCGGAGAAGATGTACAAAATCATAGCGGCGGAGGCCATTCAATCTGTCCAACGTGACATCTTATCTTAGTTTTTGTGTTTCCGGTTTTAACTTGGCGCTAGCTTAGCTATATGTTCATTTAAGGAAAATACTCTGTCATCTTTTCACTTATCTTTACAAAACTTTTGGACCTATTATTCAATACAAGATAATATTAGAGTAGCAGTACTTTCGATCTGGAAGGATTACTCATTTCTTATTGAGATGAGTTTTCAAGTGTTTTTTTGTTGTTATTCACGCGATCTACCAAAATCTAATGCATCACCATAATTTTTTTAATATTATAATGTTGTTCAGGTGGAATTGTAAGGAGAGCGCAAACAAAGTCTCACATTGACTAAGGAAGAAAATGATAATAGATATATAAAATAAGACAATTATCTACATTGGTACGAGCCATTTTGGATAAAACCAAAAACTACAAATAAAGTCTCACATTGGCTAGGGAATTGAATAATCATGGTATAATTATCTCCATTGGTATGAAGCATTTTGGATGTAACAAAAAGCAAAAGTGTGAGAGGGCTATGCCCAAAGCAGACAATATCATGTCATTGTGAAGATACTCGAASTACTTGGAGTATCGTTGTCCTTACAAGTTCAATTTGGACTTGAAATTTATCCCAAAAGATTTTACAGTCGTGTTTCCGAGCAAATGTTCATTGATATCTAACTTAGAACGAATAAGTATAGCAAGCTAGAATTTTTTGTAGGAGTGTTGTATATCTTGCAGGAGAATGTGACTCTACCTTTTAAAAGGTAGAAAATGTAAGGAATGGTGAGGCTTTGACACTCCGTATGTCGGTGTATCTATCATCGTAGGAGCAACGTAACATGAAGGGAGATTCTTTGATACTTGAGTCAGCCTCTCGTAATATCAGATGCGCTAATAGTCATTGTAACTTTAGTCAGCGTCGAGCACTACTTTATTGTGCTCTAATTCTTGAGGATCCGAATTTGTACCTAGATCCATTTGTTTGGATGAGGGTGGAGCATACATGGCGCTCCAAATTTCTTCCCACAACAGTAGCAAAGATGTGTTGTTTTGCATACAAGAACTTTGGTTACACAGAGGGGGTAGAAATCAAAGGTAAAATTTGATATAAAAGAGAGAAGAATTAAAGAGGCACAAAATGAAAAAATAAATTACTTGTTTGTTTGATATATTTAGAATTTTAATATAGCATCGACGACTGGACGAGCGGCGAGGAAGAGGTTATAATAAACCTTGTCCGTTGGATGGATGGAGTCCCAAAACACGTACTTTGTAACGTCAGGACACGTGTAGGTTTTGGGATTGCATAAGAACGATGCCTCCACATACCCACTCCCACAGCATCCACTCCCAACCTCTTCAAACCCTATCACAAAGTAAACCAAGTTATTATTTCCAAAACCAAAACAGTCACATTTTTCGACTTGCAATTGAGTTTTAGTTTAATTTTAACTATGCTCAAACTTATTTATTTTACGATCTTCTGTGATTGATAATTAAAGGTGCTTTCAATAAAAAGAAAAAATAATTGTTAGCAAAAGGTTTGTTTTTTTAATATATAATTTGAATACGTTAACCTGTTATTTTGTGAAATTCAGTCATATATATGTAAAATTTTACCCGCTGGTTAATAATAAAATGTGATTAAAATATTTTTTTCTTGTTAACAAATTTTTTTTTTTTCAGATTCTCTAGATAAATGAGAATTTTTAATATGGGTAATTACAAATATAGAACACACTTCTAGTAAAATTAGCAAAATAACAACCACATCTAGTTTTTTCAAATATCATTATTTTTTTCTGTAATATATATGTATGTGATATACATTTAACATGCTATTGATATGGATATATGATATGTTACTAATATAATTGAAAATTTAAAAAATAGATGACATATTTTGATATATATAAAAAATTTTGCTATGCATAATTTCCCCTTTTAATGCTTTTTTAATTCAAAACTAAATTTATAGGTAACTAAGTATCTACTTTTTTGCTCACCATATTTGCGATGGTCGTGGATCATGTCGGCGAGTGGACCATAAGAGTCGACGTAATAGAATTTAGCGCCAGATTCGGCTAAGTTCGACTGCATCGACACCAACTCCTTCTGGAGGATTTCATTGAAGCCTCTTGCGGCGGAGGAATAAGACTCGACGCAGCCCCGCCGGAGCACAGCGTCATCGGAATTCAATGTGATCACCGCCGGCAAGCAGCCCATTGGCGGCAGCCCAACAAGCACAATTCTCCGACCACCTTCCGCCCACAACCCCTATAATATATATATCCACAACATCTCGGTATTAACGTATACTAGCTAGTATCCTCATTTAATTTAATTCTTACCCTTACATTCTCTACTCAAATAGATAAAAATACATATAGTTTTGGCCATGTTAAAATAGGTCAAAAATTCGGCAATTTGCTGGCCAATCCCATTTCTAACCTCAAAAGAACGAAGGTACATTGACAAGTATATATCAATGACTTTATAATAAATACTAATTCTTAAATAAAAACCATTTTTTATATGAAAATATTTGGTGCCTCGAAAATTGATAACTTATTAATTTTTATAATATGTTATTTCTGTTTTTGTATTTATCTCTTAATGGTCAAAACATTGTAAGATTTTTCCTTCTTATTATTAAGAACCAAATATTTTCTACATAATAGACAATAATAGTAATAGTAGTACACGGATATGTATCATGCTACCATAATACTAAAACTTTTTTTTTTTTTTGAGAAAACTCGTACATTTTTTCTTTAATTCCAAATTCACCTACAATACCCACTATTTTAATTATGTCCCCAGTCCAGTTAATGAGTGGCTAAAGAAAGAAAAGAGAGCCCATGTGTGATGGGTTCTAAGTTTGTGAGTTTTCCTCATCTGTCCCCGACTAAATGAACCTTTAGAATAAAAGAATAAGGTCTAACACGTAAAATTTTGCAGCTTCCCCATAAAAGGTAGAACAAAAAAGTAGAAACAACGAAGAAATTGGAGGAGAAGGTGAATAACGAAGTGCTGGTAAGAAGAAAGAGTGTAGATTTTGCGTCGAAATGGGAGAAGAAAATAGTTGATAACGAAGTCATTTGTTCCTGCGCTCACTACAAACGCTGCTCTGTTGATATGCGCCTCGGTCCTGTCCTTTCCTATGGCCGATTCTAGCCTTTTCTTGTACTCTTTCAAGTAATCCAATTGCTTCATTATTGGAACTACATTCTGCCGAATATAACCCAATTCTTATTTTCCCAAAATTTTTGGTGTTTAACATGAGAGAGTGAGAGAGAGATGAAAGATTTTATAGAATATTACACTTATGGTAGAGGTAAGTGGGTCAAATCCAGAACCAGCTGAAGCAAAACTGACTCCACTCAAAAGCTCCTCCATTTCAAGATTTGGGTCTAAATAAGGAGGAATAAATTCCTTGATGCCCGCATATGAAGCTGCTTAATTGGAAAAAGTCACAAAAATCAATCTTAATTAGTCAGAAATTTATAAAATTTAGCCATTTTGTATTGAAATATTGATCCATCCCACCACAAAAAGATACTCTTCTCATTTGCTAATTAATTTTGAAATAGAATTTCCATCGTCTCGAAGTCGTCTCGAAGTCGTGACACATCAAGAACCCCACGTAAAACTAAATAATTTAACAAGGTTTATAAATAAATTTTGAGGTAGATGCCTGTGAATATTAAGACGTACCAATGTAGTCGGTGGCAAGTCGGCCATTGGTGAACCTTCCGGTGGGGTTGTGGGTGACAAAATCCCTTCCGTAAGGGGGGAAGTTGCTTCTAAAGAGAGTGTCAATGAAGTTATTATTTCCGGGGTCGACCGTGGAATCTCCGAACACTAAAATGGCTGCCGATGAACGGTTGAAATTCCGATGATATTGCTGCTCCGGCGAGGGTCCACCATCGGAAATTACGGGTAATATCAGAAAAACGAGGCCGAGCAAGCGCAGCGCCGGTGGATTTAACTTCATTTAGACGTGGGTCGTCACAAATAATGGGGAAAGAGACGAGCTCTGTTTCTAAAATTAATGTGGTAACAGCAACCGCAGTGTTTCCCGAGTTTATAGATGATGTTGTTGATGTGTAATTGATTGATTCGTTCATGTTCAATCCTCACGATTCCTGTAGGGCTAGTTTCGTCATTTTCGGTTTCTCCTTTTTATCTTTTCTAACAAATAAAAGTAAGATTGAGTTGGAATTTGGATTATGGATATACGATTTCTTGGTTTTTTTTTTATAATTATTTTTATAAATAAAAAGTAAAATTTTATATGATTTTATTTATAAATTAATTACTCAAATTTTGTTTGTTATATTTATTTTTTAATATTCCTTCTATATTTTATGAGGCAAAATGATAAAATAATATTTTAATTTGTATCTCGAAAAAAAGTTAAGAAACTGGTAACAAAACAGAAACTTGATTTTGTTTTTTTTAATAATTTTAAAAATAAAAATAAAAAACAAAAAACAATTATCAAACGTTTTTTTAAATAAAAACCAAAAAACAAAAAGGGAGAAAAATGAATCTAAACATGCCTGAATAACATTGTTTTCTAATGTTTCGGTGTGATTATTATAGTCCACACACGAGCTGAGCTTGTTTGCACTAGTAATTTGAATAATTGTGGTGTGAAATACAAGGTTAGTTCCTCAATTTTAATGAGAAAATAATTGAAGAAAGAAAAGTTTGCTCCAATTTTGTAGGACGAAATTTCCTGCATTTTTATTTATACTTATTCCAATCAATTTTAACCTTTTTAACTTTTCATTTCATCTTGAACAAAAAGTGTGTTAAATCATTTCAATTTCAACACTAAATTAGAAAATTATTTGTGATCCAACTAATAAATCATACAAATCAAACAAATAAAAATTACTCAAAATTGTGTCACGGATGGTAAATTCAATCATAAAATACTTGAATCTAGTCACAAAATAATCCGAAAAAAAATGTTCAAACTTTACCTACAGAATGCCCCAATCCAACTATTTAAAGAACATCTCAAATACAAGTGAAAGAATTAACTCACAAAAATAGTTTTGTCCAATGAAGGATACGTCTATAACTAACCACAAATATTAACAAAAAGAAAAACTAAAATTTAATTGCACTTTTTTTAGTACAGATGATGAAAATTCGAACTCAAAGTCAAAAATAAACATTTTAACCTGTTGAACTATGTTCAGGTTTGCAATTTAATAGCATCTTATTCTCAAAGTCTATAACTTAAATAATTGCACAACTTATTCTAGTGTAAGGTAGATAAATTAAATAATATAGGTATCCTCTAATTAAAAAATAATATGGTAATATTATAATTTTTTTCAAAATAATTTATGGCAGTCAATAGCGACCATTGTTGGTGGGGAGCATTAGCCTGCAGAGCATTGAGGCAGTGGTTGTGGTGGGGTTTATGGTAGTTATATATTTAATTTGAACCCCCACCCCAAGTATAGTAATATAATTTAAGCTATTCTGAATTATTCAAGTCTAATCAAATGATATACAATATGTTTCAAATTGCTTTAACTAAAGTAGAAGAGATTAATTAAGGAGGAATCTGAGTAGCTATGTCAAGAGAGTGGCAAAGAAGAAGAAGAAAAAAAAAAGAGAGAGAGAGAGGGAGAGAGATAGAGACTTTACCGAATAATAGGGAAGAAAAAATAAAAAACTTAGATATGATTAAATCACCCATCACGAATAAGTTCAAAATATTGATTTAATCATATTCTGGCTAAAGAGTATAATTATTTCACGTTTATCGTGACAATATTAATTGTGCCAATGTTTTCAAAAAACATATATTAATTGTGCCAAAATTTTCAGCCGCCCAGTTCGAGTTAGTAGGTGTGTTATTTGGACTGGGCTGAAAGCCCCAAAACCTCTAAATTGGGCTGGAAAGTGTGAAAGCCCAACTGAAGCAGTCGGGTCGAGAGTTGAACTTTCAAACCCGTCTGCTAATTCAACTTCAACGGAACGGAGATGGACAACGCGCTCCATGTGTCGGTTCAGTTCACCGATACAAGGTCAAAGTCAACCTGTTCTTGGTTCACAGGAAGTGTTCAATTTCTTGGCCAAAACTGCTCCCTTTTATTGTACATTGAATTTACAACTCTTTCCTTCGCTGCCTCTATTATAATTATCATATTCTTCGACCTTTCCTTCCTTTTTTTTATTATTATTATTATTTTTTTTATGCCTTCAGCTCCAAGAAATTTGTTTTTGGGATAACAAACAATTTCTAAGTTTTCATAAATGTCAAAAGTCTGCATCAATATTGAACCTATTTTCAAATATTCACTGGACTAAAACTAATAAAAATCTTAATTATATAAGAATCACATGCTAATCGATATGAAACTCTTTTTTAGTACAACAAATATAGGAGTGAGAATTTAAACCTCTAATTTTAAGAAAAAGAGCAAATGTATTTACCGCTAGTGTTTAGTTATACTAATATTAGACCTTTTAAAGGAAATATAAAAACAAAATTAAGTGGGCATAGGAAACAAGTAAATAGTAACAAAATAATGTGATAGTAAAAAAAAAAATTACTATAGACCAAGTTAATTTTTCTACCAATTAAACCACTGTGGCCAAACGAGCATACCTCGTATGTTGAACTATAAGTATGTTGGTAAATAGTAGCAGTAATGATAGTAATAATATTAACAAGCAACTAGTAAAAGTTTTTTTTTTTTAATATTTAAAATCTAACTTATGAAACTTTTATTTAACCAATTTGTTGATGGGTGTTGTGTTGTTATCGAGTTTCGTTTGGTGTTCTTCCACCGGAGCATCGAGGCGGCTGATTTACAGGTAACAGATTCTGTACACAGTGGAGGCGCAGCAATTTTGAGTATCCCTAAGCAACATGTCTCTGAAATGCTAAATTAAAATTCTCTCAGAAAGGAATGTCCGAGTCTGAAAGGGTTTTTTATTTTCTATTTTCTGCATTTGAATTGTAGTTTGTACCTTCGAGTTTCGTAATCCTAATGATAATGTCAACTCGCTTGTTCCTCTCTTAAGAAACCGAAACCTTATTTCAGAAGGAACGCCTCACAATTTCAAACACTCCTCTTTTTCAGAGGTACATAAAGCATTCAATTCCCTTTCAAATTCGGTAACCGCAGAATTGGGGGTCAAACGAAATCTCTACACCGACTCTTGTAAAAACTTGGGAATTCTTGATCAACAAAATCTGAGTTTGTAAAATCAATGATTAAGATCATCAGAACACACTGTATCCAGCTTTTATTCTGGTTTGCTTCTCTGTTTTTGGTGTGCTGAATATTGATTTCCAGAAGGGCTTTTCCAATTTTAAAATGGGAAGGTACACAAATTTCGAATGGATAAACCCTAGTTCAATGATTAGGTGAAACCACAGAAGTCAATTGAAGGAGCTTTAAAATAATCAAAACCCACCTCATTTTAGTGATCAAAACCCCCAATTACTTCCCCATTAATCTAGGTGATTAGTGGATTGAAGGGCAAGTTTCCTTTTGTGTTTCTGATGGAAAGGAGTGGGATTACACATCCTGAGCTGTACAGATTTCACATGGGAGCTTTTTGTCTATATATATAGTTCAATTCCCAATGGCTCTATCTTCTCTTACCTCATTAATTCATGTGGGATCTGTGTTTTGAGTAGTTTTTATAATTGGTGTTATTATGGCTATCCAACAGGATCAATCTGAAGCAATCTTAGAGAATGTTTGGGCGAACTTTATTGGTGAAAATGGATTGGATGGACATGGTGGAACAAAAAGTGCTTCAGGATTAAACAAATCTTGGACAGAGCTACCGAGTCTTTGTGGCAGAGATGGATCCATGGAGGTTCTTGAGAGGCTACCAAGCCTTGGAAGATGGGTGTCCATGGGAGCTGAGGCATGGGAGGAGCTTCTTGATGGGATTGTCCCTAAAAGCACTACAGAGCAATCTTTCCATGAGAATTTGGAGAACAACCCCACCAATCATTCAGGTTTTGGTGTCGACAGAAGGCGATCAGAGAAGGTTGTGGCAACGAGACACTACCGTGGTGTGAGGAGACGACCGTGGGGGAAATATGCAGCAGAGATTCGAGACTCGTCAAGAAATGGTGCTCGGGTGTGGCTCGGGACTTTCCATACAGCTGAGGAAGCTGCATTGGCTTATGACAAAGCAGCGCTGAGAATTAGAGGTCCAAAGGCACATCTCAATTTCCCTGTTGAGACTGTTGCTGAGGCTATGGGAATGCGTTTGTCAACAAACTATGATCATTTGGATAACAATCTCACGCCTTCTTTTCAAGGGTATGACTCTGCTTACTCAACCCTTGGCAGCCATGGAAGTTCGTCGATCACGGGCAAGCGATCGACAAGAGAATGGGAAGAGGAAGACGGTTTCAATTTCGACATCATGGAATTCGAACAGCCATCAATGAAGAGAAAGGCGAGCACGAACAAGAACAACATGTTCTACAACGATTTCGACGTCTTCGAGTTCCAAGACTTGGGGAGTGAGTACTTGGAAAATTTGCTGTCTTCTTTATGATATCATCTTCTTCAAAAACTCCTCCATTTGGATCGGTAACGGCAAGGTTTTTGTCACTCAGTAGACAGAAATATGTTTCAATTTGTAGCCCTTTATTGTTTATGATCAGCACCATCATTAATTTCTAATCTACCATATAACGATTTGATTCATTCTTTCTAAAGCAGAACACCATAAACTTCAATCAAATCTGTGTAGTTTTATTCAAATTTCCAAACCATAATCAATAATCAAAACTTCACATATACACAAAGAGAGAGAGAGAGAGAGAGAGAGAGAGAGAGAGAGAGAGAGCTAAAAAAATTTACCAAAAGTTTTAGCCTATTCTATTCAGCTGCGCTGCTATCCGATTCTGATCGTGAATTCGCCACCGAAACAGCGGTGGAGCTGCAATCACCACTCGGCGCAGCCTTATGCTTCCTCTTGGCCGGCGTAGAAGTCGTCGCCGGCGTAGAAGCCGAAGCCGCTGCCGCCGCCGCGACCTCCGGCGGGAAATTCAGGAGGGCTTTGGGTCCTCTCATCTGGAAAGCAGCTCTATCATAAGCCAGAGCGGCCTCCTCGGCGGTGGCGAAGGTGCCAAGCCAGACGCGCGCGCCGTGTCGCGTATCTCGGCGGCGTACTTGCCCCAGGGGCGGCGGCGGACGCCCCTGTAGTGCTTCTTGGCAATGGTTACGGCGGGTGGAATGGGGTGTCCGGCGGCGGGGGGAAGAGGGGAGTTGCGGGACGCCATGGCCTCGTTTAGAACTTGGTAAATGACCATGTCTTGAGAATCGTTCTCATTAAAAGGCAAATCCGATTGGGAGACCAAAACCATGGCTTAATGTCGAGGGGAAATGGTCTAAATTCCTTTGGATTTTGATGGCTAAACACCAACCAAGCACAAGCACATTTATTTAGCTTTACAAAATTTGAGCCTTTGTTTTGTTTTGTCAATTCCGATTTTATTCCTCTTGCCAAGAACTCGAAGGTCACTGGAAAATGGGTTTTGAAATTGACTGCTTTTTGTACATTCAGCCATTCAGCTTGGTGGCTCGACTTTTTTGCCCCTACTTTTCCTTATATTTATCCAACTTGTCTTGTCTCTTCAATTTTTAATTAACAATTTGTTTTTCCTCTGTTTAATTTAGTATAATTTAAAATTCAATTTTTACCACATTAACCCATTAGAAATTTTAAAATAATTTTTGTGCCATACTAACCACATTGATATTGTTGAATCTGTTAAAAAAAAATTCGGTGGATTGTAAAAAAAAGTTATTGCTTGTAAAATTCAAGCAAATAGATGTAAATATGATAACTAAAATGTAGTTTATTCTAAATAATGTTGAAGAGTGACTACTTTAAAAAATAAAGTAAAATATTTTGAGAGTTAAATCATATTGATTTATTGGTATAGAAAATATTGGAAATAGACTAACTTAAAAAATAAAAAATGAAACCCAAAAAAGATACGGAAATATTTCCTAAGAAAATAATGTTTTCCAGTGAAAAACAAGACGGATCACACATTAAAATTTTTACCTTTTTTTTTTATTAAAGAATTTTATCATGGGGTCCAATAGAAACAATTTACTTTATACCTAATAGAAAAAAATTACAAAAAGGGGTGAAAGCATTAATTAAATATGCTTCTTTTTTTTTTTCCTTTTTCGGGGACTGAGAGGGGCAATTTCGGAAATTTATATGAAAGAATTGGAGAACGTGTAATTGAATTTGACGACCGAAAAGAGGAGAGAAGCAAGACGACACGCCTCTTGTGCGATGACGTCTGTAAGGAATAAGGATTTAATTTAAAGGAATTATTTAATATATTCAATTCCATACCATGTAATTCTAATTCTGTCGCGCCTTTTTTTTTATAACTATTAGGTATACAAAAATAATTTTTATAGCAGTAATTGATATCTGATTAAGAGGTCGTTAATTTGAAACTACATCTCTACATGTTGTAAGGAAAAAAAAATACATATATATAAACAAATGAAATGATACAATTTTTAAATGATACAATTTTTTTTTATATTTCTAAACCTGAATAATATTGCGATTAATTAATAAAAATTTGCGATTAATTCAATCTCTCCCATCCCTTTGACTTTTTCAACCACTCTTATAATCTTTTTAATATTTGTAATTAATAATTTTTAAAATTCAACCTCACGAGAAAGAGTCCTAAACTTTGTTTAACAATATGAGCCATCTATTTCCAAAAAAATATGAGCCATCTCCCAAAACTATTAATTCACGTGGTTTGACCCAATTGGACATCATCAAATTCTTAATCTTAAACATCCATTTTTTCCTCATATAAAGGCACATGGTAAAAAGAATCTCCAAAGAATGGCAAATTAGACCACAGATGAAATGTAATATTGGTATTTATCAATCCATGGAGAAAGTCCGTTTCACCAAATAGCTAAAAAAAATCAAGTTGTCAAAGATACGACCAAAATCTTACAAAAAGATCATGCATTGTATTTGTAAGAAAATAGCACCACTAGATCTAGAAGAGAATCCATATGAATTTGGACTAGAAATTGATAATATAATATTATTTTGAGGAAGATAAGAGATGAAAAATAATTACTAGAATAAAATAATATGGTAAAACTTGGCAGGCTTAATATGGTGTAACAAGAAACAGAGGTGTTGGTGGATGGGTGAAATGATATTATAAATAAATAACTTTTATAATTTTTTTATGGAGAAAATGGTTATTTCAGGGAAGTGGAGTGCATCCAGAAGCAACTTATGAGGNTGTACTTTTGGTTTTGGCCATATATATATATATTCATCATCGTCTTCTTGTTGTTGTAGTTTTAGTGCATTCACTTTGGAAAAAGATGAAACTGAAGTTACAGGCCACAACCTTGGCTAAATGGCTAGGCTGTTCATCATTTTCACTCAATAAAATTAATGACATTAAATGATATTATGCAAAACACACTTGTAGAATTCAATTTAATGCTTGCTTATTTAATAATTAATCAGTCTTTCACTTTGTACTTGTGACCTGTAATTGTCACTACATTCATTTTTCACTAAATGGTCCAAATTTTTGTGACTTTATATAGTCTTGGAGAAAAAGTTATGAGAGAAAAATGTGTTTCCTCATTGTTGAAATTTTGATTAGGTGTAGAATCGGATTCATATTCATCTTCCTTGCCCATAAATCCTCTCTTTCCTTTTTTGTTTGATGTATTTCCATGTAAAATTGGTACGTTCCTAATCCTATCTCACGTCTTTCATGATTTTTTTAAAGTAATTAATTATTGCAAAGATAAGAATTTGAATCAATTTTGCAAATTATTTTATTCCCTTTCATATATATAATTAGTCGTCCCTATTCACCGAAGTCTTTTTTTGTTCTCGTGTTTTCTCTCTCTCAAAATCCTTTTAAAGTTGCTCACTGCTGTTTAACTCAATCTTTCTCGAGATCCTCGAGACGGGTTTGAGAGCACTGCTCTCAACATCTTCGAGATACAAAATATTTTATTCAGCCGTCAAACATTTATTTTCCAAAACAAAGATCAAAAAAATCCAAATTGATCGAGTTAGGAACTTAGGAACAATATCTTTTCCTATTATTACTTGAAGAAGAAGGTTCTGGGCTTGCTCTTGGAGTTAGACTAAGTTAATTGGATGGTCAAAAGTACTTAATCAATTTGGTTCAATTTTCTACCACCAAAATCAAAACTAAAATCAGAGTGACCCGACCAACTTTGTACTGCTGAACAAATGTATAAATACTCATTGTACGACCATTTCCAAACATCAAACTTTCAGATAAGCTGCAATTTACCACGTTTTGGGCTAAATCCAAAGCTGATTGTGTGTGTGTTTGTGTAAGCAACAACACATGGGCCTCTCTTAAAAATTGAAGCCCAGATCGATAAACTTCACCTAACACCCAAATCCAAATCCAAATCCAACTCCCATTCAGCAGAATTCTGATGCGATAGTTGCTGAATTCATTTTGGTTAATTAACCAAATTCTCATGTCTTACATTACAATTGCATTACCCTAGTTCCTCACTTAACCACCTCCACCCAACCTAACTTTTCTCTATATCTTCCACTTGAAGAAAAAGGAACCCCAAAAAACAAAAACCCTTTTGTTCTGTTGCAAATATGCAATCATTTCGAATTGGAAATTGAGCTTCCTTTCGGTTCCAAGTGGGTGAATTGTTAGTTCAAACCCTTTTTTCCTCTGCTTTTTGTCCCTTCTCTTATCGTACACAATTATATGTCGTTTAAAGCCAGTCCATCCCTCAAGTATCGTATACGAAAATCGTGCCTTGTACCATTTCTGTCCCTCATTCACCAACAACAGTTACAGAAGAAGAAGAAGAAGAAGAAGAAGAAGAAGAAGAAGAAGAAGAAGAAGAAGAAGAAGAAGAAGGATAAGAGGGTACCGGAAATTATGAGCACGGCCAGGTTTATTAAATGCGTGACGGTGGGGGACGGCGCCGTGGGGAAGACTTGTATGCTCATTTCTTACACCAGCAACACTTTTCCCACTGTATGGTTTTCAACTTCGTCAATGGCCATTCAAATTATATATGATTCTTTTTTTTTTTCATTAATTTTTTGTTGGGGTTTTTTTATATTTAATTTTGTTTGTCCGGTACTAGGATTATGTTCCGACTGTGTTTGATAACTTCAGCGCCAATGTGGTTGTGGACGGCAGCACCGTTAATCTTGGCCTGTGGGACACCGCTGGTAAGTTTGTTTAACCATCTAGCTCAAAGCTTTAATTAGACCATTAGGTATATAGTTAATATCTAATCCATATTTGCTAAGTATAAACTTTCTATTTATTGTTTAATTTTATAGTTTTTGTAGCTAATTTTTATATAAAATTTGAAGAGCAATTAAGCTATCCAAAGGACGAAAGGTTCAAACTTTTGTCAAAACTTTTTAATAATTGCATCATGTCTGGTAAATTTATAATTGAAACAAACACTAGTTAATCCCAACATTTGTTACAAAACCCCAATAAATAAATATAATATTTTTTCCTTGGTTTGAATACTATTTCAATCACTTTAATTTCAACTTTTATTTATTTTCAAAATATCTCTTCGATTTTAATATACTTTCAAAATGTGAATTTTTGTTCCAATAATTTTTTTTTCATATTTACAGATTTTTAAAACAAATATTTTATACCCAATATATTTCAAAAAATATAGAGAATGAAATGTTAGGTAAAATTACGATAAAATTGAAAAGGAAGGAATCGAAATCGTCGTTCTTTTTAACTTAGTACATCAACTAAAAAACCCAATATTTTGAAACAAAAATGAAAATCATAAGTACAGGATAGAAAATAGTATGGTTGAAGTTTTTGTTTAATTGAGTGATGAGGGTGTGAAATGCAGGACAGGAAGATTACAACAGGCTGAGGCCTCTGAGTTACAGAGGAGCAGACGTTTTCTTGTTGGCGTTTTCTCTGATCAGCAAAGCCAGTTACGAGAACATCTTCAAGAAGGTAAATTTTTTATTTTTTATTTTTTTATTTTAAACCCCAATTTCTCCAAACTTTGCTTCCTTAATTAATTCTTCCTTTTTCTTTTTTGGTTGCAGTGGATTCCTGAACTTAAACACTACGCTCCAAACGTCCCCATCGTTCTGGTTGGAACTAAGCTCGGTAACAACATTCTTCAACTTAAATTACACTTACAACCAACCCCAACTTCAATTTCTAATTCAATCCATTTTAGATCTTCGAGAAGATCGACAATACCTCATGGATCATCCCGGCGCAACTCCCATAACTACTCCTCAGGTAATCAACGAAATCTAAACCAAATAATTAAAAAAAAAAACTCAATTCTGCATGCTTTTGAGTGGTGATTTATTTATCTGATCTTCAGGGCGAGGAACTGAGGAAGATGATTGGCGCACTTACCTACATAGAATGCAGCTCCAAAACCCAGAAGGTACGGTATTCATCCATTGCATAGAGAATTTTGAAACTATAACAAGTGTTTGAAATTTTTGGTGAAATGGTAATGGGTTTTGCGATGTGTGCAAGTGCAGAATGTTAAGAATGTGTTTGATGCTGCGATAAAGGTAGCGTTGAGGCCTCCGAGACCCAAGAAGAAGACTCGCAAGCAGAGGACCACCTGCGCTTTGCTTTGAAAAATAAAGTTCAATCATAATCGTTTTATCAAGAAATTATTCGCTATGGTTCAACCCATGCATCCAATCGAGGGAAAAATCATATTATAGCAACCATATTGAATAATTTTTTCATTTTTTTTAATGAACTTATATTATATATTTCCTGTAAGAATTTTGGGTGTATTCTCAATGTCTCAAAGCTATGCATATGAGAAGAACTTATTAGAGTTTTCTTGGTTGAATTGTATTATTTCTGTGAAGTTCAATACCAATGGCTAAAGACCATATCCACCCTATATCCTTGCTCCTTTTGTCTTCTCTCTCATAAATTTTAATTTTATTTAGTAAAACAATAGGATAGAGAAACGAAAATATATATATATATATATACATACATACATATGCCCCTCAATACTAGGAGTTATTTAATGAATACAATAATTTTTTAAGATTTAATGCCTTAATTTATTGAGTTATACATAGGTTGACTGATTTAAAATTACATCCAATTATAACCGATCTACTGGTCATTCTTTTTTTTAGAAAATTTTTGGTTATTTAATTAGATGGCTATATCCCAATAATTAATAAAATGATAAATATTTATTGTCAAACATCAGAATTTAATTTGGTAGTATAAGCTGTCAAAAAAAATTGTAATATAAAACTTTTAAATAATTTTCTCATAATGTGAAATGACTTTTAGCCATAATACGTACATATAACATATAGTTTACTTCTGCTAAAACATATCAGACGCAGGAAAAATAGGAAATAATTTGGGTTATTTGTTAGTGACAAGCCCATAAGTAATTGGGTTGGGCCACATCATAACCCAGATAACAACTTCGCCTATCGATTGGACTTCAAATGGTAGCTCAGTTACGAGACAAATTAAGAACATTTTTTTTTTAAATTACAAAATATAGTAACAGTATTTTAATTAATTAAAATTTTAAAAAGGATGAATAATTATAAATTATTGACTAATTCATTTTTATTTATATGATATTGTTATTAGATTATCTTTAGTTATATTTTAATTGTCTTAAATCACTAATACAATTACTAGCCTGAATTAATTACTGACATATATTTCCGACAAAAATATTAAGGGTTCAAATCTCCGTTGTACTAAAAAAATCACTAATACATCTACTGTCCACCTGAAAATAAATAAATTAATTTATGTTGCAATAAATTGTTAAGCACTTGGTAAAAAGAAAAAAGAAAAAGAAAAAATAATTATTAAACACTCGGAATATGCATACGTTTACAAGCACAAATTTAATAATAAAACACAATTACGTACGAAACAATGGTACGTACTAATTAATTAGTTTATAGAATTATAGTTCCAATCCTTACTTTAGATTTTTAACATCTCACTTAATTTAAATTTTCGTTAATCCCAATACAACAACAAGCATTCTTTCATGTTTTCTTTTCAAGCTTGGTTTTCGTTTTCTATTGACCATTGGCTTTTTTTTTTTCTTTTTCTTTTTTGGTAATTAATTAATTAATAATTTAATAGTATATTAGAAAAAGGCAGATGTAATTAAAACGTATTTATAGAATATCGTTACCCTTTAATTTCCCAAGGTGATGCCCCCTTGATTCCCGCGGATATATATGGTATCAATTCAAAATAATTTTGAGTTTTTTGAAAACAAATATTATTATAATAAAAAGTCTACAGGAGGTAGTTGATAATTAATTAAGACACGTTTTATATATTAAAATACAATTATGTGTTGTGTACCATATTGTAATTTTTTTATTCCTTAGGACAATGTTTTATTATTACTAATTGGCAATTCATTTAGAATATGTTTTGTCCATTCAATAGCAAACAAAGAAACAAGACTAGAAATTAGAATGGAGGATGTGAAGAGGTACATGCATATATAACAAAATCTAACATTTGTCTTTAATTTGTTTTGACATTTGCTAATGTTTTTACTATACAATATATTTTGGTTTTAGACCGTGTGAATTTAAGGGGGGAAATAGACAGAAAAACAAATAAAAGATGACAAAAGATTTCTACTAAATAAAATACTTTTCTCTTTTATGCATACACCACATAATGATTTGTAAATAATGGTTTACCGTTACAAAAATATAACAACCCAAATACAGAATAAATATAATTCAAATAACACTGTCTAAAGTTCAAAACCAAAACAACTCTTAGTGGTAATTGACATCTATTTTTTTCTTTGAATTCGCAGGTTCGAACTCTTATAATCCCAATGTGTGTATTTAAAAAGAAAAGGAAAGAAAAAAACCCTAAATCACTCTCCTTCACTTTATCAACTAATTTAATAGGCTCATGGTAAAACTCTAAATCAACTCACGTTCATATTTATTCCCTCAAGTCAAAGTCAAAGTTCAAAATCAAAGTCACTCTCTTTCCCTTAACAACTAATTTAATAGGCTCTAAAATTCTAAAACAACCCATGTTCATATTCATTTCTCTATGTCATAGTTGGATNTTTTCAAACCGTATAGATATAGCCCATTTTATATTTTGAATATATTTGAGAGTTTTTCCTTTAAGAATTGGGTAAAGATTTAAATTTTCGGCTTCTCAAAAACAGTCGAAATGTCTTAACAAGACAAACATTTAGGAATGTTGTTTCATAACATGTGAATATATTTGTCAGGACAAAATTAATTAACACACTAAACATAAATCCAGATATTGAAAACACAGTTTGTTAAAAAGATTACACCAGCCTAAGCCCAATATTCTCTAATGAACTATTTTGGACTTCTCAATAAATAGATTAATTAATAACATATATATTCCCTAAAAAGAAAGTAAAAAAACTAATATAGAGCCATAGTAATGGTGGTTTGGTTTCCCTCTCAAAAATTTCAGTGCCAAAGAATAGATTAAAAAATTTTGAGGAGATTAATTAATTTGGGGTTATTATATAAGAATAAGATAAGAAAAAATGGGTGTGTGCATGTGGAGTGAAGAAAAAGCAATTAATCGTAGCATGTTGTGTATTTACTACAAGCACGTTAGCATTTACTGATTTCTGTTGCCGCAAATTTAGCTTACCCCCTTCATCATCCTCCACCTTATATTATAAATCACCCATTTTTTAAAAGGAAAAAAAAATCTAACTTCAAAATTCTCATTTATTGTAATCATGTGCACTCTCATTCCCAAATTTCTTTGTAATCCAGTTGGAGACGCAACTTTAACATAGTTCCATTGATCCATAAATACAGATAGACTGAGCTCAACCAAATCGAATGAAAAAGACTAAACAAACTAGGATAACAATGAAATCTTCTCATATTAAAGTAATCAAAAGGGGTCAAATGAAAATATTGGAATTAAGGAGGAGGAATATGGGGGAGGGGATTGAAAGAATTAATGGAGGAGAGTGAAGAGGTTTCCAAAAAAGAAGTAGGCAAATGGTGGGGAAGATGTGAGGAAGAAGATGAAGGATTTGGGAAAGAAACTAACGTGTAGAAATGGGGTTAATAAAAGAATTGAAGGGATGGGGTTTGTTGTACCATTGGGAAATTAAATGAAAAGTGAAAAAGCCAAACAATTAGTACACTTTAAAGTCCACTTCCACTTGCTAAAATTGTTTTGTCCTTAGTTTATGCTAACATTACTCTTTGTCTGCCCCAAACATAGACACACACCAAGGCCTTTCATCACACTCCGTGGTCCCCAAGTGATGCAATCCATTTAATAAACAAACACCTTCAAACAATGCTTCACCTCACCTTGCTCAGGGAAAAGGCAAATTTTCTGTATGGGTCAAAATAGGGAGGAAGCTAAGAATCCGTTTGGTAACGTTTTCGTTGCCAAATTTTATTCATAAACTTGAACATTTTGCAACTAAATATGTTTTATGTTCCTCATTCTTTGGAAACATTCTCAAAAATTGTATAGAAATTTTGGAAACAATCAAAACAAGTTTCTTGTTTCTTATTCTTGTTTTCAATTTTTTACCATACATAAATATAGATATTACCAAAGGAGCATAAGAAATGGAAACACTATCAAACGAGTCCTAAGAAAAGGACAATTTTGGTAGAAAGTGGTTTAATTTTGAATCTCTCTCCC